TGCTGAAACTGACAAGCCAGCCGGTGCTGGGTTCAGAGGCATCAACGTCAGCGGTGCGGGCTCCAGCGGCACCACTTGTGACGGCACCGGCGTTGGCGGCACCGGACCCAGCCGTGCACATTCCTGACATGGCGCCACCGGCAAATTTAATGATGTCGGCACCGAGCACTCTATCGGCACCGACAGCAGAGCAGCTACAGCTGATCTCCCCGGCACCGCTCTGTTTTCACTCTGTGCAGAGCTCCCCAGTTGCCATGGAAACTGACAGTGCCTCAATACCTAGGAAAGCTCTATCAAAGACTCATGGGAGGGACAGATCTGCCTCCCCAGTTTTCTCACCAGGACCATCTCCAGCGCCACCAAGGCGTACGCGGTATCGAGACTATAGTGTCTCTCCGATCCATGTTGCATACAGGCAGCGTGATTATAGAGACACAGTATATCTAGAAGCAAAGCGATCTCATTCACAATCTCGTTCACCGGGTCGGTCATCTAGATATGGGTCCTCTAGATGCTCTCCATGCCACGTCTATTACATTCAACACAGTAGTGCACGTTTGTCGCGTCATTCTTCTCCGTCACGTTCTGAGCACTACTACGGGCACTACTATCGCTCGTGCGACGGCGGTACCCACCATGAACATATATTATCTTCACTTAGGGTATCATCCTGCAACTGCCGCTCACCAGTCACACAACAGTTAACCTCACCTCCTCCATCGACAAGCCAATCTGTCCAACAGGATCATTCCGAGCTGGAAGAAGGACAGCTGTCTGACACCGAGGACCCCAAGCCAGAAACCTCTCCAGCGGACTGCGCATCTTCCTCACCAGATGAGGCAGTCTGTCCAGGTGAATTGTCTCCACCGGACGATCTAAAACAATTCCAAGACCTGTTTAAACGAGTAGCAGGTACGCAGGAAATACAGCTGGCAGTTGTTCCGGTGAAGACACACCATCTCTTAAAGAACCTCCGTCCACAGCAGCGTGCAAGGATCGCCTTACCAATTGACGAAGCGATCATGGAAGTGGCGGCCGAGATATGGCAAACGCCAACTTCAGTTACTCCTACCAGTAAAAAGGCCGACAAGAAATACTTTGTGCCGGCAAAAGGGTTAGATTTTCTATTCAATCACCCTCAGCCCAATTCGTTAGTGGTTGACGCAGCACAGTGAAGGACCAAAGCACCACAGTACAAAAATGCGCTCCCTGATAAAGACAATAAGAAGTTGGATATATTTGGTAGGAAGGTCTATTCTTCAGCCACACTTCTATTACGTATTGCAAACTACTCGGCTCATTTATCAAACCACAATTTTGATAATTATTCAAAGCTAGCGGAATTATTACATCATCTTCCTGACGCAAAGAAACCTCTACTAAAAGTGATAGTACAGGAAGGATATGCAGCATGTAGCACCGCATTGCAGATTGCAATGGACGTGGCCGACACAGCAGCACGGGCCACAGCTACGGGTATCGCAATGAGGAGATCATCATGGCTTTCATCTGCGGGAGCACCAAAGGAGCTGCAAAGTAAAGTTGAAGATCTCCCCTTTGATAAGCTTAAGCTTTTCGTAGCAAATACTGACGA